ACTAAGATCTCAGTTACTTTACGTTGCTTTATTCCAGTTGTTTCTTCTAATCTTCGGTTCTCAGCTCGCTCTTTATATTTATGCACAATGTCCTTCAACTTCGTTTGTGGTGGAGTTGTCTTTACTTTAGTTGGTTAAGAACACGTACTCATTCTGAGAAAATCAGTTTTTCTAGTGTAGCTTTTTCTTGTTTAATTTTGCTTAATTGACAAATAAATGAAAACTCATAACAGAATATAAATCGAAGATGGATGAAGTTTTCTTCAAAAAGTAGATGATGCTTAGAAGCGCTCAGGTACGCTAACTTTGTCCACAAATAAGAGACAAAAAATACCAGAGCATCGATAAGTAGATTAATTTACATTTGAAATTTGGTTGGATTTCAAGTAACACATAATGGAGCACTTCAGAGTGCCTCAACGGGGAGACTTCGTTGGACGATGAACGGGGCACTTAAAGTGACGCTGTAAGAAGCACTTTCTGAGGAAAAGGTGTACCATGGTAGGGCACTTCAAAGTGTTCTGCGCGGGGCGCTTACAAGTGCCCCATTCATCGCCCAACAACAGTGTCCCTTTACGAGTCACTTATTCTTTCACAATATACATGAGAAATATATGTTGTCCCACGTCGTACAATCCCGCCCAATGATTGAGGAACGAGGAATACTACCTTAAAAATCTTCTAGTATTAGTTGTCTTTTAGTCTTAATGAGAATCAGTTCATGGAGCGGTTGGCACAGATCTTTTAAAATACATTACAGAACACTATAAGAAGAACGTTGACATTTATCGTGTTGCTAGAGATATCAAACAAAATTCAATTTATTATAAACTAATTTTCGAGCTTTCGATGTAAATAATGCTTTATCATCAGGAAAATAACATAAAATAAAAATTAAAAGAATATATGCGTAGTGTGTAAATGATACATAATAGAAACAGAGAGAAAGAACAACGTTGTCACCAGAACAAGCAAAAAAAAGAAAGAAAGTCATCGTCAGTTAAATATACATATGATCGATCATATATATGCTGTATTTCAGGTATATTCCGAAATAAACACCCATTTACATTGATCACCCAAAAATATAATTTGATAATTCATTAATAAATCTGAGCTATTCTCACTGCTGCTTACAACAACTGAATAACTATGATTACTGAATTTTATTTTATATATATCTTGATTAAATAGTATGAAATAGTAATATTTCGTAGTAAAAAATCATTTCGTAAGAGATCATTTTCGAGAAATGCTATATAATAGGATCAATCGTAAAGATAGTTATCTAAATAAATATTATTAAGTTAATTTATGCACTATTTGAGTTGGTTCATCTATGATGCACTTAAACATATTTAAAATATAATAGACAATTGATAATCCATAGGTCTATATATCTAATATTGTATGAAAGAATAAAAGAAAAAAGAAAGTAAAAATGTTATGACAAGGATTGTTTTTAAAAGAAAAACAACATACTCATATTTCACCTGTGGTTATATGTCTGATTACTTTTTTTCTTGTATAAAAGATGTATAATGATCAAATATAAGTAAAGAACATGTTGTAAAAATACTACAATGTAATTTTTCATATTACTCATTATTTTTAACTGAATTTAAAGTTCGTTATCAACTGAAATAATATATATATATATATATACATCAATAAAAATAAGTTTGTACCAAAAACATTATTGATAACAATTAATTAGTGTACAATAAAAATAACTATTGTTTTGTTTATAGATAAGTAAGGCATTTATCTCATATGAAACAGCAAGTCATTCAAATTAACACCGAAATTTTACAGGTCTATCATTGTCTTTAGCATCAATCTAGTCATTGTTATCAAACAAATCGAATTCTCATATAATTCTCTGATATAATCATATATATATTACTATTTATCTTATCCATTCTAGCTATCAAAACCAGTTCAACAAATGAAAAATAAATGGAAACTATATGCATCAGACATCATTTTATCCATTATTGGTGATTATACTCAACAAGTATCAACATTTACCCGAGAAACATTTGAACGACAACTCATTGATGTTGTTGCGGAGAAAACAGGCATAGTCATTTTAATCAAAATAATGATATTCATTTAACTGATGTAAAATTTTTAGCTTGTATCATCACTGACGATGCTGTTAATATCCGAATTATGAATGATATTGACGATGCAATTAGAAAATATTCTGATGAATATTCAAAAGTACCAGTATGGATTATAATTGAAAATTCAAATAAGACTAGAGAAAATAAGCTAGAAGAAGGTAGGTGGTAATAGCTAAAACAACTACTTTACTTCCTAAAGTACTATTTCCTTTGGTTTTTAAGAGTCCAACGAACAAGTAGAGGTATTCTATTTTTCATTTAATTCTACATAATTAATGTTCTTATTCGATTAATTTTTTAGATACTAATTGAAAAACAGGGTCGATACTATCTGACATTCAATGATCACATTCAAAATCGTTTAGAAATCGAACAACAAGTTTGTCAAATATTTCATTCGTTTGACATCACAAAATACTATACAGAAATTTTCGAGCAAGCAATAAATTTAACTGAATTAATTAGAAATAGTACTAATTGTCAACCAAATGTTTTTACACAAGAATTAATACATATGTTAAGCAATTTATATCAAACAATTACCAAGAAACATCAATTTGAATATACAAATATTTCACAATTACGACATTTACAATGGAAGATAAACATATTGAAAATACAAGTAGAAGAAATAATACACAACACGTCTTCGAATTACATCAATGAACAATTAGTAAAAGAAATATTCGATAATGTAACAAAACTTTCCACAAGTGAGATATCTGTTTGCTAATTAAAATCAATAATCAACATTCTCTGATGAGTATTAACGAGTGGTGCATAAAGAATGAGCCTCTCAGCATTTTATGAATATCTCTCTCGGTTTTCGATGCTCTAACTTGATTTTTTCTTCAAAAGATAGCATGTGCGATTCTCTACACAATCCAATGGAAAGAGCTCTTCAAAAGTATGGCTGGAAAATCATATGTGATCAGCAACGCTATAGTACAAAAAAGTCCAATTTCAAAAGCACTTTTTTTTACAAAACTAACGGGTGCGCCATAAATAACTGCGCTCTTAGTAATTTAAATTTTTCTCCTCTTGCTTAGACTCAGTCGAACTGATTCTACTACCAAAAGATTCCCCGTTCAATTCTGTACAAAATGGCATACAAACGACAAGCCAGAACTTTGAGACGTTGTTTCAGCTGAACAAAATGTGATGTACCTCGAAAAGGAGAAACATGTAATCGTTTTCTACTAAGTTTTTTTAATTTGAAATCTATGCTAAAAGACGGATACAAGCCGTATCCTAAGTTGCTTCTCTACACATTCAGATGTTCTCTATCTGATAGAACAGAATTCATTTTTCCTTCTTGGGTCAGTCCGGTAAAAATGACTATATAATTACTTGCCATAAGAAATCAGCGAAATGTCAATGTGATGATCTCGTTTTTTTCAAAACAAAATTATTTCATACTGTTTACATGTGAATTTAATAGGAAAAAATGTTCTTTCCTGAATGACACCTAAGCGAGCTTAATTGGTTTACTTTTGTCCGAAATATGATCAATCTGCGAATAGCCCTAACACGTAACTCGAAAAAGCAATGATAGGCTTTTATGGAAACCATGATTGTAAGCGCAAAATAAAGGGAAGAAATTCGTCTTAGCTGCCAATCAATAGAAAATTTCAAGGGCTACAATTCTACATATTCGGTTCGACACGACTAAACAATTTGATTTATTATCGGCGAAATACTCCCTTTTTTAGTTAAATTTTTCACGTTCTCGAGGTACATCACATTTTATCCAACTGAAACAACGTCTCAAAGTTTTGGCTTGTCGTTTGTATGCCATTTTGTACAGAATTGAACGGGGAATCTTTTGGTAGTAGAATCAGTTCGACTGAGTCTAAGCAAGAGGAGAAAAATTTAAATTACTAAGAGCCCAGTTATTTATGGCGCATCCGTTAATTATTTCTCTTTTTCTGACTAAACAGATTTCAGGTCATTCTAAAGCAAGCTTCCTATGTATTTAGGTGTACTCTTTCTAACAGAGCTCAAAAAAGATCTTCAACAAGTTTGTGAGATTGCAATGCCCAATTTTCTTGAAAAAACGAGTTGGAACCACTGATCATTCTCCTTAGTCGCGCCAATTATTACAGAAAAGAACCTTTGCAACAGTTCACTCGGGTAGAAATGAAAGAAAATATACTTTCTTTCAATTTGGTAATAAATCCGAATACGTATTAAATGTATATTTGATTTAACTAAATCAAAATTTTGGTAAACCTCAGTGGAAGATCTTAAAACGCTAATAAGGGAGCACAAACGAAATGTTTTATTTAGATAGATTTAGAGTATGCCAAAAAAGTATTCGGTCAACTGATAGAGCTTTTCATGGACTACAAAGTAACATATTCAGTTTTTTCTGTATGTGGTCAAAGAGCGACGCAAACTTACAAAAACCAGAAACAGTAGCTTGAAAGTGGACCTTTTTGGAGTATAGCATTGCTGACCACATATGATTTTCCGGTTATCCTTTTGAAGAGCTCTTTCCATTGGACTGTGTAGAGAATCGCACATGCTATCTTTCGAAGAAAAAATCAAGTTAGAGCATCGAAAATTGAGAGAGATATTCACAAAATACTGAGAGGCTCATTCTTTATGCGCCACTCGTTAGTAAAAGACGCTAACACCGACGATCATTCTGAAATCAAATTTCAATAATGCCATTCATAGAGCATGTCGAGTTATCTATAAAATGACCCATTCACACTCAGATAGTTATTTAATATGAAAGTATTTTTTGCCAATATCTACTCCAATATAAAACACGTTATGACATTTTCAAAATTTGACTTCAAGCTTTCGATGTATAACTCACATTATCATCTGCTGATGACAGAAAATGAGAATATTGACTTATATATACATATATGTACAAAGCATGCAAATATGACGAAAACAAAAAAAATAGAGACAAAAATAGAGTAAAGAAATCTTGAATACGTTTATTGTATGATCATACGATACATTTGAAAAAAAATAATAATAAATATTGATTTTGAAAAGGCTGCAGTATATTCTTTGTACCAGTTTTGTACTTTCTTCTCAAGTTAGATGTTTCTCTGGTTGAGTGAACAGTCTCAGGTGTCCAGCTCAGATTTCGTTTCTTCATACATCATTCGATAGGGGACCTAGAGTTGGTGAAAAGCCTTAAATGGTTCGGGCTCTTGAAGACCCGGTTTTAGGGAAAACTAGTTTTTCAGACACTCTACAAACTAACAAAAACCTTTGGTAATGAGTGATGATTGTAGTCTGCAAACTTCTGATTAAAATTAGATGTCTCCCAGCTCTACACGACGTTTCTTTGCAAAATTATAGAATTTACGAGAAAAGCCCAAAACGTTCTTTGTCAGTTCAACACTACAGAAATACGAAATTAATTTCGGGCTTTTCTTGTAAATTCTATAACTTTGCAAAGAAAGGTCATACAGAGCAGGCCGATGTCTAATTTTAATCACAAATTTGCGGACTACGATCATCACTCATTAAGAAAAGTTTTTTGTTACTTTCTAGAATTCCTGAAAACCTGATTTTCGGAAAACCGGGACTTCAAGAGTCACCCGAACCCTTTAGGCTGTTTGCCCACTCGAGGTCCCCTATCGAATGATGAAGGAACGAACAAAATCGGAGCGAGGCACCTGGGAATCTTTCTGCATTACCGTTTCCATCTCTAATACAACAAGTTACATGTAACATACGCTAAGCTAGCGATTTTGGGCCTTGAAATATCTTTAACGAGAAAATCATATCTTAGATGAAACGCCGACTCAAGATAATTAATCTAACGTTTGCTTGTCGAACATACGAAATGTGAAATGTGTGTGTTAACAGAAAGTATTTTTATATTAAATGTCTGTAATTTCGAACATATTAGCGTTAATTAGTCTTTTCATAGATAATTCGACACGCTTGATCAAATAGCATCACTGAATTTTGATTTCTGGCTGTGTATGGGTGTTAGTTTCATTACTAGTTTTGTTCTCTTATTTAGCTTATCAGCATCTTGCCCTACCACTCGTTTACATCTTGGTCGGGGGTGAGTTAGTGAATTTTAAATTAACGTTGAGGAATAAAGAACAATTATTGAATTCTTAGGTGATGCAGCATCAATCGGCACTGTTTGTGAATCCATCACTCGCGGTATACCAGTGGTAGTGATAAATGTATGTGCTAGAGATAAGTAATATTTTTTATCAATCATGCTATACTCTGTCTTTTAAGCAAACGGGCGGTGCAGCTAATATTCTTAGTTCATTGTATGAAATTCTCTATGGTTCATCCATTAGAAACAGATCAGTACAAAGATTTGAAAAATTAATTAATGAGACCATCCGTAGTGAAGCATAGTAAGTAAACAGTTCATCGGTACATTTTGCAGTAACAAATGACGTTATGTTTTAGTAATGTTAAACTAGAATATTTCGCTAAAGAAAACTCAGAATTTTTCAAAAGGATTAACCAAAAGCAATTAAATGATATAATGCATTCACAAAATGCTTATTTTGGACTCTCAATACATGAATTAGGTGGCAAACATCTTAATGAAATTATCTTAGAAGCAGTGCTTAACGGTACGATTTCCTTCTTGGCTAATAAAAAATTACTTTATGTATTTTCGAACAGGTATTGAATGTGATGATAAACGTGTAACTGAAGTAAAGCTCGCCATGAAATGGAAACGATTTGATTTAGTTGAAAGATATATGTTAACGATGAAAACGATTCATAAATGGAAAGTAAGGAATTTTTTATTCGGTTTCGTTATTTTTATTGTTGTTGATTCTCTTAAGGATGAAGAATTAGATGAATGTTTAGAAGTTGCATTATTATTAGGATCAGTTGAATTTGTTGAGTTATTGCTGCAATTTGGTGCGTCATTCAATCGATTAGCACAATTAGGTGATATCGATTATGTTATGAAAAAGATGACAACAAAAGTAAGATGATGTGACTTGCATAATTGGTTCTATCACAATAATTGTTTTCATTAATGAGAAAGTTTACTTTAATACAGATTATTGATTTTTAAGGAAAAGTTTAACTTCAATAGATTTCACTATCCGAATAGTATACACGAAGGAAATATAATACAGGTAAATGTGACTAGACAAGAAGAACATGCAAGTACGATTGCGGGGTTGTGTTATTTTTAGAACACGAATCATGTCATATGTAAGTGTTTTTATTGTAAAGTAAGGATTATAGATTGTCAACTGACAATTGGCTCGTTTTTACGAGAAAGTTTTGTCGCTCGTAACGAGGACGATCGTTCGATCATGATATTTCGTTAAAATAAAAAAAGAGGCATATACCTGCCAAGATTTTAATGAAATACCATAATGATGGCCCAGATCGTTGGTAAGAGTAAGAGACAAAAGGCTACCCATCTTTGGAAATGTTGCCTCTTCAACAGTTTCCAGGGTGGGTGTATAGGCGTTGGCTGGGGAGAACTGGAGTGTCTGACTTCTAAAAGCTCAGAGCTTCATAATCCTAACAGCCGATTATTTTGCTTGAATCTGCAGCGTTCTGGTTATTTTGTAGAAAGAAGCGCTTCACTGCTACGTGCTCCTTTTTTCCTGATTTTAAATGCTTACAACTATCGAAAGCTCTGCTAAAAACAAAAATGGCAGTCCCATGGAAAATCTCCAAACCTATGCATAAGTTCTGGGATAAATACAAGAATTGCAGGGTTTGTAGTAATTATTGGTTTTTCATTTGCTAGTAAACTGACTGATTTGAACAATGGACTTTTCTCTTGAAACTTTTACTCTAAACTCAGCACCAATATATAAATTTGATTCCTCTCGTCATTTTCTATCTCATGATGTGTCAACCAGCTCCTGAGAATATGTGGTTCTCTTGTAACAAGTTCACCACTATCAGCATGCACCAAAAATTCTACAATTTTTGCCACTATCCTCCTGTATTCTATGACTTATTCAGATAAGCAGAGTTGTAGTACTTGATGAACGCTACAAAACTATAGTTTTTCAGCATTCACAAATGTTTGAGGTTTCTTGCACATAAGCCACGACCTGCTGCCATCGAAGAATGTTCAGAGCCAAAAAGAAGTTTTCATTTTCTCGGTCTTATATGAAAGAGCAATCAGTTCTAAGTCAGCTAGCATGTTCTGATCGAGAAAATGAAAACGTTTTTTTTTGACTTTGAACATTCTTCTATGGCAGCAGGTCGTCGGTTATGTGCAAGAAACCTCAAACATTTGTTAATGCTGAAAAACTCTGCTGGTACAGTTTTGTAGCGCTCATTAAGTACTACAACTCTGCTTGTTTGAACAAGGCACAGAATAGAGAATGAGAGTGGCAAAAATTGTGGAAGTTTTTGTGCAAGCTGATAGTGATGTACTTGTTACCAGAGAACCACATGTTCTCAGGAGGTGGTTGTCACATCATTTGATAGAAAATGACGAGAGGAATTAAATGTATATCTGCCTGGCAAAAAATAGTTCCAGGCGTATTTTTGAATTTATCAATGCTGTAATCAATGATCAAAGTTCAAGAGTGACAATGAAAAACTTGAATTTAGTATTTCTCGCAATAATCGACAAATCTAATAATTGACCGAGCATCAGAGTCCTTGTTGTGGCTATTTCCTGAAAACAAGAAGAACAACCGGCAGTCGACAATAAGACGCAGCCATTCTAATATCTACTTTAAATGGGCTTTCACTCTGTGAATGTCATTTTTTGTGGTTACCAGCTGTGGATGCCTTGTCGGAAGTGATTTTCGTCTTATTGCTGCAGCTTTGTTATGATATTCTAATGCTGATTGTCAAGTACGGGTTGCGTCATGCGCGAGTCCCATATTACGGTGTGTGAAGGCGATATGAGGGTGATCGAGTGGAAGAGCTTTTACTCTGATTTTCAATGCTTTTTCATAATTCATCAAAGCTAAATCATATTCACCTTTCTGTCCAGCAACAATGCCCAATCCTATGTAACAGTCAGCAATATAAGGATCACTCACTGCCAGCTCATTTAACAATCGTTTATAATATTTTTCGGCCTTGTCCAATCTACCCATCTTTGATAACAAATTTCCAAGTGAAATGAAAGTAGTTTTACTTGCCATCTCCTTCTTCATATGATCAAACACTTGTTTCAATTCATGGTCATCTTCGTTGCATAAATCTAAATCAGCCATCCAGATTTGCTGTTCTTTGTCATAATGAACACTTTCAAGTCGAAAGATCGAACCAAGCATAAGTAGGATTTCTTCCTCATCAGGGAAATAACTCAGTCGAGAAATATCAGCAAATGGTTTTGCTTTTATTCGACTGTCGACTTTAATTTTGAAGAGAACACATTCAAGATCTTGGCACAGAGCACTTTCGGCAAATTCAAGTGCCTTCCTCTGACTACGAGTTGAGGACAGAAAGGAGTTTATCGAGATGAATTCACCAGTATTTAAACGAATACGATCAAGTTCATCTTTCGATATCACCTGACCTCTGTCGAACGTTAACTTTAACCTATGTCGATGTTCTGAACTCAAAGCACTTTGTTCAGTATCTTATAGAGTAAACAGTCTTTAGTGTACCATCGTAAAGCATCAGACGACTTTTATTTTTGCAGTCATCGAGATATGATGTAATTAATTTGAGCTCCTCGCGAACCATCCATCATAATAATTATTTTTCTAAAATGTATTGGTGTGTTCATAATAAATTCAAAAATACGACTGAAAGTATTTTTTTTCAGGCGGATATATTGGTGCTGGTTTTAGAGTAAAAATTTCCAAGAAAAAAATCAGTTTTTCAAATCAGTCAGTTTACCAGAAAATGAAAAGCTAATTACTTGTGAGGCACCACAAACCATTATACCAAGACTACCTTTTTTTTTACCATTTACTTTCGCGTGTCGAATACTAGAAACCTGCATTTACATGTATCCCGGAAACTTTTGTACGGCGCCGCTAATCCAAAATCAAGTGGAAAAGCTTTTGAATTGTCAAACACATACTCTAATTCACCGGATGCTGCTGATCACGAATCTGACCTTATTTCTTCGAGTTGACCGAGTTTTGTCATTGCGCAATGCTCTCTAGCTTTTTGCCATGTGAGCTGGAGACTTCTTTCATACCCCAGAAGATTCGCCATGCCTTACTCCACAAAAGTATGCTTCCTTTTTCTGGAAACATTTTTCTTTTTAGGAGAAATTAGGAAAAGACTGAAAAAGTGCAAGTTCTTCGAAAAATCCTTCAGATGATGAGCCCATAACTCAATGATATTTCCACCTAGAGAACTGCTATTATGGCCTTCTAGGTAAAAAGCAATGCTGAATACGTCAGAAATGTGTTTGAAAGGTTTGGAGTTTTCTAAGCAGGTTTTGCAAAAAATCAGAACTCTGAGAAACCTTCAAGGGCCGTTTGGAAATCTTTTTCGTCCCAAACACATCATATCGACAGAGCGTCAAATTCTGAGACGTCTTCGCGCCTTCTAGGGCATCTCTAGGCTGAGATAAGGCCATTTTACTTTCAGTGATCCGGCTGACTCGAAAGCCTTTAAGAGATAACTCAGCCTAGAAACACATCTGGTAGATTTCCAGAGAGTCGGCTTTTCAATAAACCTCGTTATTAGGTTGCATTGTGAATCGCAATATGAAAACTCATTCGTCATCTAAAGCAGCTTTTATGCGCCCGCATCTGAATACGCTTAGGCTTTGCTTTCTCTTTGTAGTAAAATCCGTTTTTCTGGAACAATGAACGTGGCAGTCTAGAAAATTAGTTTCTTGTCAATACTAGACCGAGTAGAATTCAACGTAAGCGTCCAATAAAATACACATGAAAATTTATTTTTCCACTTTTTTCGTACAAACGGTACAATACCAATACAAATCAGCCATATATAAGAGTATTTGTGGAAAGTTCGAAAAAAAATAGCCAAATCAGTGTAAATTTATACTTGAAATCATTTTTAATTTAAATATTCATTTACTTCAACAGTAACTCGGTCCGTTTTTATTCAGCTTCTGGCCCATTTTTATCAGCATGTGTTCGCACCACGATGATAGGAAAATTTGTTTTTACAGAAAAAAGAAGCCAAGATGTCAAGCTTTAATATGAATCAAAAAGGCTTATCCTCTCCATTTTGTTAAATGTCCAATGTATGTTCTTTGGGTGAGGTAATAGTAGAGCAATTTGGTAGAGAATGATTGATGACTTTTTTGATGTTATAGAGCATGAAGCGCCAACGCTTTTAAAAAGACATATTCATAACTTGGCTACACAGAAGAAATATGTTCATTTTTGCTTTTTATCTTAGACAAACATCCGGCACGTACGACTTCTCCATACGAAATAGTATCATCAAACAAAGGTAATAATTATATATAATAATTATGTTACTAATTGAGCAATTAAATTAGTTATGGAAAAAGCGGATGTATAGTTTCAGATGATCTTCGTGACTTATTCCTGTGGGCAGTTGAAACGAATCATTGTTCGATAGCAATGTCTATTTGTTCAAGATTACCGGTAACAGAAAAGCCCGCATACCTCTACCGAGCTTAAATCAACATTATTCGTAGGATCCATTGGTTGCCTCACTCATTGCATGTAAACGGTATAAACATCGTCATCAAACAGATGACCAACGGTATACATCGACACTTATCTCAGAGACGTTCCATAAGTACCAGAAAAGTATATCATGTAGTCAAAAATACGCCTCTAACATAGCCCATTCAATTCTCGCCTGAAATTACCGATAATTCAACTTTTTAGATCTTAATAACATTCGATTGGTGCCTTATGAGATATTAAAAAAAGGTATACAACGTTTTTTTGGAAGGTCGCATATTCTCCTGTTTGAATTTTGCGTATCTGGAAATTCTTTGCTCCGAGTGAACCGTATATCTAGCAAAGTTTTTGATCGAACAGCTTTGATACCAAAAAACCACTTTTTCTATTCAGGTTTTTTCTGATCATCATTATGGATTTTATTTCGACTGAAAAGCACGTTGTGGTGTTGAAAAATCGAATCCATTAGAAATTCTTCGGTCATTTTTGCTGCTTCCCATTAGTGGAGCTCATTTTCGAACACTCTAAGGATTGCTGTTCAATGTACAACGGTGCATTCTGTAGAGAGGATTATGTGTTCTACAAAATGCATCGAGAATATCTTAAACTTATTAGATTGCACTGCTTTTAAATGGAAAATTTATTTTCTTGCGTTCCAAAAAGCTTCACTTATTTGAATTTTTGTCACCTTACAGTACTCCACAAAGTAGCGAGCTTCCTGTAGCTTGAAGTCTCTAACTATCATGCTCAAGAAGCATGATAGTTAGAGACTTCAAATTTTGTATGGTGATAGCTCTTGCCGAATGCTGATCACCTACCAACTTTGGGCCTCTTTTACTAGATGGTTCGTGAGATATAAACGATTTATATTTTTTTTGTAAAATATCAGTAGCTCCTGAGCCAACGCTCTAAAAAAGAATGTGACTTCAGCGATGTGTCTTCCGAGAAAAAGTGTCTTGTATGTGACTAGATTGCGACTTCAAAATAGTAGGTGTCTTCTGTAGGTCTTCAATGTGCCCACTGGTAGGTATATAGAAGTCACATTTGAGTCGCATAGAAGACGTATGAACGAGAAAGGCGCGTAGTAGTCACATCACTCCGCCTTCCGTGTGTCTCTAAGTTTATAAGCAGTCCCACACGAAATGTCAACGAAAGAGGCTAATAAGACTAATAACTAATGTGCCTAAGTGGTTCAGTGATGAACACATTCGTCCCGTAAGCGAATAGACCGAGTTCAATTCGTAGCAGGAACGAAAATTCTTTTAATGTATCGTCTCCAGAAGACACATCAAAACGACTTTAAAAGAGTCACTAAAATACGACTAAATGGGATCTAACTTATGTGTCTTCTTAGAAGTCGCATTTTTGTTTTAGAGTGAAGAAAGATGAAAACTTTTTCTTTTTACTAATATGTAGCCAAGACTCTACGCTATCTACGATATGAGTTTCTTGAGTTGGCTGTTAGTAGTCAGTGAAATACAGCTAGTTTACGTGCGAGGTTCGCTTTTTTGTTGAAGATTCGAGGTCCTTCGCGAAAAAAGTTTATAACCCAGCTTAGGAATATTCCTTTGGTTCAAAAATCACAGTAAATATCCGACAATATCTTTGGATTATGCACCCTATATTTCGGGGTTTCAGAAATTTGTATTGAAACATATGCGAAACCACGACCCTGAGAAATCAAGGGTTGTCCGTTCTACCATAGCGTCTGAGGTCAATGTGCATCATAACCATGCAAAAATATAATCACGGAAACCTATGGTGAAAAAGCAGTAGGTGAAATATTGTGAGAAAGTTTCACCGTCAAACTTACATTCACACTATTTTCCGCCGTTTTCAGTAAAATTGCTATAACTCTGAGTGAAAGTGAGATCTACACTTTTTTAATAAAGAAACAAATAAGCTTCACTTATTTTTAGAGAATTATTTGTACTTTAAACTTCACACCCCTTTGAAATTTTAAACCTTCAAAGTTATTCCATAGTTCTCAATACATTTCTGAAACTATACAATAGTTAACCCCGAAACTTTGGGTGCATAATCCAAAAATATTGTCGGATATTTGCTGTGATTTTTGGAACAAAGGAATATTCCTAGGCTAGGTTATAAATTTTTTTTCGCGAAGGACCTCGAATCTTCAACAACAAAAAAGCGAACCTCGCACGTAAACTAGCTGTATTTCACTGACTACTAACAGCCAATTCAAGAAACTGATATCGTAGATAGCGTAGCGTCTTGGCTACATATCAGTAAAACGAGAAAGTTTCCATCTCTCTTGTTTAGGAGGTAATGGTATTTTACAAAAAAAGATGTAAATCACTTATATCTCACGAACCATCTAGTAAAAGAGGCCTAAAGTTGGTAGGTGATCAGCATTCGGCAAGAGCTATGACCATACAAAATTAGAAGTCCCTAGCTATCATGCTTCTTGAGATACAGGGGTGCTCGTTACTTTTGTGGAGTACTATAAGATGAAAAAAATCCAAATAAGTGAAGTTTTTCGGAACGCAAGAAAATAAATTTTCCATTTCGAATGTTATTGAGATATAAAAAGTTGAATTTATAGGTAACTTTAGACGAAGAATCCAATGGACAGGGTTATATTAGAAGATTAATTTTGATCACACTATATATTTTTCGATGTACTTAGAAATCATCACTTAATTTAATCTTCTATTCTAGATTGTTTTATGACTATGCCGTGAATATAATTGATAAATGTTTTACATCTGACCCTAAAAAAACTCTTGAACGATTAACAAAGCCGTCCAAAATGTTTTTTGATCAGAATTCTCTACAATTAGCCAAAGAGATGAAATTCAGAAAGTTTATTGCAACGAAATGTGTTCAGGCATATTACGATCAACTGTGGTACGGAAAAATACAACCATGTGACACAGAAAGTCACATTGATTCATTGGTAAGTAAATCGCTATTCAATGCTAAATTACCAACAACGTTTTGTTTTAGATATTTGTCATTTGTCTTTTTCCATTTCTTTTGTTGATTCCGCGTGTCTACAAATATTTGTCAATGTCATCGACAATGGTTAGTAGCATCAAATAGCCTAAATGAGTTTTGAAATGATTCTTAAATTCTCCTTTTATGAACAGATTTCCAACGATGGAGAAATGACAAATAAAGACTCGTAGGTTATTTTTGTTATTGGTCTTCAGTAAGCTTGAACTACCCTTACCTTTAGCGAAACAGAGAGCGAATCATGGAACAAACAAGTCATTCAACGATATAGGTTATTTTTTTATGAAAATGCTATTGTTCGCTTCTACTATAATGTTGTAAGTATTTTTGATCTATTCGTTATTATGAGAATATATCGCTTCCATACAAACTAAATATGAAACACAGTTGTTCATTATTAATGTCTTAGGTGTTTTATCTGGGCTATCTAATATTGTTCAGTTATGTGTTATTGTTTGACTATTATCCTCTCAATATTAATGGAGAAAAACGATCAGGTATACGAAATATGTTTTTGCCTATTAGCGAGCTGATCGTACACATTTGCATTTGGAGTTTCTTATATGAAGAATTAAGACAAGTATGACCTGTCATATAATTTGATCTTCATTTCTATCTGATCTGTTTTTCAATTAGATGAAAGCACATTACAGTGAGTCTCGGGAAAATGGTAGCATGATTGAAATAATATTACGCTATTTTTGGTATGATAGATGGAATACAATTGATTTGACAGGTTATGGAATATATATAGTTGGTTTTATTGCTCGATTTATTGTTAGAGAA